GGGGGAAAGAAAAAGTAGAAAAAAACGCAGAAAGAGAGAGAGAGAGAGAGAGAGAGAGAGAGAGAGAGAGAGAATATCAATCAGTCTTCCCCCCCACCAAAACAAAAGCAAACAGCAGTTTCATGGGGATGGCAGGAACAGGTGGTAGACAAGGACAACATGTTCAGGTGTGTTCGGTTTTCATTGTTTGGAAGCCAGGATTCTTTGGGTGAACCCCAGTTGCTTACTGTTTCAACTGCATATCCCACAAAGTGAGTACAATGACAGTAAGTTTTTGAGGTCCTGAGTAGGGGCAGGGATATGAATAGGATCCATTGAATGGGAGGCTCCCTGGGATCCTGATGAGTCCTGGTGAGCAGCTGGATTTGTGTTCATCTACAGAAGAAGCCACCGAGGAGGAGAAGTTGCTGAGCAGGAAGATGATGAAATACTGGGCTAACTTTGCTCGGAGTGGGTAAGTGGACCTGCTGGCCTTCCTCAGGTCAAGGGTTTGAGGATGACTATCTCACCTCCCACTGTGTTCTTTCACTTTCAGGGATCCTAATGGGGATGGCCTTCCTGTATGGCCAGTCTATGATCAGAGTGAGAAGTACCTGATGTTGGATCTGAACATCACCGTTGGACAGAAACTGAAAGAGCAGAGAGTAGAATTTTGGACCGATACCCTCCCCCAATCATGTCCACCTCTGAAGCTCTGCTCCGTCTTTTCCCCCACTTAATCTTCTTTTCCCTGCCCTTGTCTTTCCTTTTCTCTGCTGCTCCTTAGAAGTCATCTTTGTATGGTGTTCATTTTCCTCCTTCTAAGCTTCTCCCTCAACCATTACCCTCATTTTCAGTTTAGCTGCTTTCTGTGGGGGATTTCTGTGGGTTAATCAGCTTTAGCTGATGTTTTTTTATAGGCTTAGGGATGAGCCTCATGAAATTCTTCTCAACATCAAAAAATTCAATTTGTCTTGGAAGGTAATGAGATTTTCTCAGTGAGTCTAGAGAAGGGCCCATTACTTGTCATACTGTTACTCATATGAAATAAAACCAGAATGCAAAATATATGCAGTGAGTAGAATTAAATACTGTGCTGACAAATTTCTCCTACTATTAGCATCCAAGATGCAGGTGTCTGTGTGTGTTACTGAGATGGGAGTCTCCTCCTAATGCAAAGAAGCTTTAGCTCTAGGCTGAGTGTGGATGTCTTGGATACCTCTGGGTTTGAGATGAGTCTTAACGAGAAGGATGGGAGAGGGGGACATGCTCTGATGTTATCCAAGACCTAGGATCTAGAGGTTGAAAAACAGGCAGCAAGGGTCAGACCAGGGACACCAAGGAGAAAAGTTTTGCCTGATGGGATGAAGATGAATCTACAATTCATTAAAGCTACACTGAGCATAACATGCCCCCATAGGGTGCAGTAGTGAACAGAAACATGGCCTCTACCAAACTGTATAAGCATACATTAAGAAAGAGTCACATATCTGGGTACCTTATGATGTAAGTTCAGCAAATTCTGTTCAGGAAAGCAAGGTGTTTTAACAGACACAAGCGTCAGAACTTTGATTTAGAGTGCAGTCTTAGGAAGCTGTTTATGGGAACTCACATTTACATTAAGAAAGAATGAAATAAATTTGGCCACATGATAGGTAGGGGGACTGTTTTATACACTGTCATTCAAAGGATGCACTCTTTATATATTTTGTATCCATATAACTCACTGCTGTGATTCATTGCTGCGATTGCTTCAGGGATACACAGAAGGTACAGAGCAGGAAGGGTTCTGAGACACAGATGCAGAGGTCTCCAATTTATAGGTGTACTCTGACTGTCCAAAAGTGTTTTGTTTAGCCTACGCAAACAAACATTGTTTTGGAATTAATTGTGGACTAATTTTACTAAAGGAAGTTTATATAAAAAGCCACATTTCCATCTTCTCTAGAAAATAAACCCCAAATCTAGAAATGGTAGAGTTCCATCTCCATATGATAGGCAGCCCATACACCATTTAGGTGCATATTGGAGGGTATTCCTTCTTGAGACTCTACAGACATCTTCTAGGAAATTGTCAGACTTCCCCAGAATGCATCTCTTTCTGCCAAGTTGCCTTTCTGAACTATTTCCAAAGCTGTTGGGCTGTCTCTGGCTCAGGTGGTTTTTAGAAGGCGGATCAGAGATGCTTGGCCACTTTAAGGCCCTAGAAAGAGGCCAAGCCACTTGTAAGCAAGCCAAGAAATTCCATGGCTTCTGCAGCTGCAGAAGGCCCATTCCTACATTGATATTTGGAAAAAACTAACAGCTAAAAATACTCATTTTAAAAAATAATGCTATAAGACGAGGAGATGGCTCAGTCTGTGAAGTGCTTGACTACAAGCATGAGTACCAGAATCCATAAAAATGCTAGGTGTGGTGGTGTGTGCGCATAATCCAAGTTTTAGGGGAGGGGGAGATCTAAAGATCCTGGTCTTAGCTAATTGGTGAGTTCCAGGCCAATGAACCATCCTGTCTTAAAGGAGATGGACTCCATTTCTGAGGATGACAGTGAAGTTTGTCCTTTGTCCTCTACATGCATGTGCACACATGTGTACTACTACACATTATTACTACCACATATTACTACCACACATTACTACCACATGTGTACTACTACATTAAATGATATTTCATGTGAATACTGCTCACAGTCCTCAGACATGACTCTAATTTTGGCAGGTGCTTCTCTAGGCAGTCACATTTCCAAGTCATCAGGTATAGGGCTTTCTTTCTTCCATCTGGACTGTTAACATGCAATCAGATGTTTTGTGCAGGAAAGTTGGTTTATAAGTGACATTTGGTGTCTGTTTTTTTTTTTCTTCTATTAAACTGAGGCTCCCCTCTTAGACGTGAGTGTAGGAGAATTACATAGAAGAATAGCCCAGTATCCTAATGTCTAGACATTCCCCAGTCCAACTGAAGTGGAAAATTCTTATAGGAGGCATCTATATTTTCAGTGGCAGGCATCTGATGTACACGTTTGATAAAGAACCATTGAATCCAATTAGACAGTGGTTATATACTGCTTATCACTGAATAGGACACTTATTTCAAACTTCTGCCTCTCAGCGCTCAGAGATCATTCTGGAAGAGGGAGCGGAAAGATTGTAAAAGTCAGAGGAGGTGGATGGTCACAAGGAAACAGAGTTTTCCAGACAGCTGGTCAGTTTTTCATATGAGCTCACAGCAATGGTGACAGCATGCACAAGTTTCGTGCAAGCTCAAACCAGACAAGAGTCCAGCATAGGCATGGGAAAATGGGAAAAAGACCCCAAACTAAGGAACTTCTGTCAACTGAAAGGTGCTGGGACCGGGAGAGATTGTCTCTTACACGGATGGGATTCTTGATAGGTTAATGAGGCTCCAGTGGATGGACCCACATTGAAGAACATAAATCAGACCCTATAGACCTTATTATTCAGAGTACATTAAATCGGGCAGATGGCAGTAAGGGGAGGGGTTGTAACCTGAAAACTGCTAGGAAAACCTGGAGCTGACCAGAGCAAGTCTGGGCAGCGCAGAGCACACTGGGAGAAAGAGGTGGAGTCGGCACCACTTTGGGGCGGGGCGAGCTAGTTAAGCCAGCGCCACATGCACAGATGTCCCTCCTGTCTAGGGGCTCTGAGGGCAAGATGAGGCACTCGCTTGGGCCCGTGAGCTGGCACCAGGGGGATGAGGCAGCAGCCCGTGGGGCCAGGCAGGACAAGCTGGTGGCGGGTGATCCAAATATAAGCCTATGAGAACCCATGTCTTGTAAGCCACCCCCCTTCCCAGACGTCATATAAACTATGCTAAATTCAAATAGAGTGTCTTATGTCGTTTTGTTAATCCACATCAGGAACCGGGAGACCCTAGAGTCCTCAGAGGGCGCACTCGGGTCCCCGGGAGGGGGGGGAGGGAAAATTGTGGCGAAATGGTTAGATAGAAGAGGGGATCTAAATGCCATCAAATTATAGTGTATGAAAATTGCAAATACTCAATTAAAACAAAAATAAAATACAGTAAAATATTAAAAAAGAACCACTGAGTCTATGAGCAGTGTATGTATACTTGTTAATGTCCTGGACATTTATGGACATATTTTTAATTTTGCTTTTGGTGTTTTGGAAAAATTTTCATGTAGCCCAAGCTGGCTTTGAAGTCACTCTCTAGCTGAGAGTGATCCTGAACTCCAGATCCGCCTGCTTCTATTGCTTAAGTGTTGGGATCAGGCATATGCACCATCACACTTGGCTTTAGAGATGTAATTTCATGCACTACGTTGGGAATGACTTTTTATTTTAAAACATTATTTGTGGAATCAAGATTTTAAGAACATAAATTGTTCTAAAGGCCTGGTCTCTTTAGAAATTACTCTTCATATGCTTTGCAAACTCACACGCCTTCCTACTCATCAGCAACACAAGTGCACATCAGTTACCTCTGCCTTTCTATAGTCCTAAAGCCTAAAAATATGAAATCACTTTCATATATATATTTGAAAAATATATATTTCCTATATATATATTTA